CACATGGGGGGGGGGTCTTTGGAGCTGTGGCATCCATGGGGGGATGGAGATCCATGGGTGGGAGTTGGGTTGGGGTGGTGGAGACCCATGGGTGGGGACTTGGAGCCATAGGGGATTTCTGTGGGGTGGGGGACCCACAAAGGGCAGGGGGAGTCCTGGGGGGCTCTGTCTCCCAATAAAGGGGTGATGGGTCCCTGTCATGTTGAGGTGGGAGGTTCACAAGGGCAGGGGGGGTCCCCAGGGTGGGGGGTCCTGGTGTCACCGAGGTCTTTGTCCCAGTGCCCAGCAAGGTGCCACCCATGGGGACACTGTGGCTGTGGGGTGCTGTCCCCCTCCTCCTCCTCCTCCTCGCCTGCCTGGCTGCGCTGGGTAGGGTCATCAGGGGACACGGGGTGACACGGGGGGGGCAGGGGGGCAGCTGGCTGCACAGCACCCCCAGCCCCACCTGGGAGGGATCTGAGTGCTGTGTCCATGGATATGGGTGCTTGAGTCCCCATTGCTGCTGTGGGTGTCCCCACATGTCCCATCCCAGTATTCCCAAAGGTCCCCAAGCACCACAGCACTGTTTCTGGGGTGGGGGGTCTTTGGGTGTCCCATCCCCCATGTCCCCAAAGTGGGGGGCTCCTATGCAACCCCAGGTTCTGTGTCCCCATGTCCTTGTGTCCCCATGTCCCCATGTCCACCTCCCAGGGCGCAGACGGACACAGGCACAGATGGGTCGGACATCACAGGGACGCCGGGATCTCAGAGCCCCCCCAAAGCCCCCCAGCCCAGACCTTCCTGCGCTGCGCTTCCTCCAGGTGGGGTGGCACCCATGGGTGGGGTTTGGGGGGGAAGGAACCCCTATTTGGGAACTGTGGGTATGGGATTTGGGGTGTGCAGCACTGGGGTAACGGGGTCGTGGTGCCTGGGGGCACCCATGGGTGCATGGTGATGGGGTTCCCTGGGCATGCGGGTGCTCAGGGCTGCTGACACCCAGGAGTCCCTGAGATGGGAACACCAGGATTTGGGGTTCTGGAGTTGGGGACACCCACGGGTGCACGGGGATGGGGGTCCTTAGGGATGGTGGCAGCAGGATTTGGGGTTTGGGGGTTGGAGACACCCATGGGTGCCGGGTTCCCTGCTATGGGGACGCAGCCCACAGCCTCCCCCCTACCCCCCGTTGGGTGCAGGTGCTGCAGGCTGGGCGCTTCTCGGCGGTGTGGAGGGGCACCCTGCAGCAGCGCCCGGTCGCCATAAAGGCTTTTGCTGCGGGGGCGGCCCGGCGCTGGGCAGCCGAACGGGCGGTGCACGAACTGCCGCTGATGGAGCACGAAAACGTGGCGAAGCTGCTGGGCACCCGGGGAGCCGGACCGTGTGCGCGGGGGGGGCTGCTGGTCCTGCAGCTTTACCCGGCCGTGAGTGCGGGGAGGGGCAAAAG